CTTCATTTATGTTGTTGTGAGTACTTCACTGAAGGCAGTACACTGACACAAAAGTAAAAATTGTATACATGAGATTGGGATCACATCTGTCCTTCTTAGGCTCAGATTTTCAAAAATGGCCATTGATTTTGCGTGCCCAATGAATCAAACAAAAAAAATCTGCACCCCTGAGCATGTTTTCCATTTAACAAAAGGGATTTCTGAACAATTTTAAAGCAATCCTCTCATTTGATACCTAAAAAACAAATACAGGCAGTCCCCGGGTTACATGGATTCGACTTACATCGGATCCCTACTTACAAACGGGGTGAGGCAACCCCGCACTAGCTGCTTCCCCCCAGCAGACCAGGGAGACGCGGAGCGGCTTTTCTCAGCAGACACCTCAGCTTGAGAATAAAGGACAGAGGGAAGTGAGGTGTGAGAGAAAAAAACAGAGCTCTAGAGAAATGTTTGGCTAGAGTTTCCCCTACAATATGTACCAGTTCCGACTTACATACAAACTCAACTTAAGAACAAACCTACCGTCCCTATCTTGTACGTAACCTGGGGACTGCCTGTACTTCAAATAATATTGATATAAACTCCACAGTCTCAGGTAAAAGAAGCCAAAGCTTCTCAAAGACACAGCATTTTACAATAACAAAATACACTTTAAAACACATCTGTACACTCTGCTATGCATATTACAGGGATTCAAGGAATATGGCAGAGATTAAGAAAGAAAATAGATCTACCTAAATCCATTTGCTCTCAGATGAAAAGTGGTATAAATAAGTAGGAGAGTATCCCAGTAGTTATCAATTCAGGCAGTCCCCGACTTACATGGATCCGACTTATGTCGGATCCGCACTTACGAACGGGGCTTTTCTCGCCCCAGAGCTTGCGGGCGGCGGGACCGCCCAGAGCGCAGCGGTCCCGCCACCGCGTCCTCCGGGGCGAGAAAAGCTGCTCCGGGTCTCCCTGGTGTGCTGGGGGGGACTCCCCAGCACAGCAGGGAGACCCGAGCAAAGCCGCACAGGCGGCGGATCCCGCTGCCCGTGCGGCTTTGCTCCTTTGCTCCTTTGTGAGACAGCAGGGAGACAGGAGCAAAGCCGCAGAGGCGCGGGACCCCGCCACCTCCGCGGCTTTGCTCCGGGTCTCCCTGGTCTGCTGGGGGGGGGGATGCAGCTAGTGAGCCCCGCCCCCCCCCCGCAGACCAGGC